TATATATATATATGTTGTGTGGGCTGTGGCTAAAGAGGAAGTAAAATTGATGTTTGAATTGTCTTGGTGATGAGTAACAGCCAACATCAATAGTGAGTTACAACCATCTGGGAAACAATGATGGTATGAATCTTTCGGCTCCTCAAACCTTCCGCTCTAAGGAAATCTCAAAGAGCAACGTTGTTGATGATATGGTTAACAGCAATGCCATTCTCTATGAGCCTGGCGAACACCCAGACCATGTTGTTGTTATTAAGGTAATTTTATTTTTACTCTCTCTTCCTCTCTTTCGAATATAATTAATTGGTTGTTTATTTGAGTCTTTGGTTTGTTTGTTTGTTTTGTAGTATGTGCCTTATGTTGGGGACAGCAAGAGGGCCATGGATGAGTACACTTCAGAAATATTCATGGGTGGAAAGAACACAATTGTGTTACACAACACGTGTGAGGATTCACTTTTAGCTGCTCCTATCATCTTGGACCTTGTCCTTCTTGCTGAGCTTAGCACTCGAATCCAGTTTAAAGCTGAGGATGAGGTTTGTTATAGGTTGCTTTAATCATTCCAATCTTTGCATGTATGTATGTTATTTTCAGCTTTGTAAGACTCAAAGAGTTGTGGCTTTAATTAACAGGGTAAGTTCCACTCATTCCACCCAGTTGCGACCATCCTCAGTTACCTGTCCAAGGCCCCTCTTGTAAGTTTAGCAACTAACTAATGAATTCTCTATTTTACTATAAATTTGTGAAAGGTTGATTCCATAACTTGTGAGGGCAACAAATATTACAGGTTCCACCTGGTACCCCAGTGGTGAATGCATTGTCAAAGCAGCGAGCTATGCTGGAAAACATCATGAGAGCTTGTGTTGGATTAGCTCCAGAGAACAACATGATCCTTGAATACAAGTGAAGTACGAGAAAGAGTAATGGTTTGGGTTTGGGATAGTGAAGTTGAACGTGTCCAAAATTAACTCATATTCCAAACCCCTCTTTTGTGTTATTGTTATGTATTGCAAGCAAATGTTAAATTACAGATCGTAGGATCTGTCTCGTTTTGTTCCTGCCAGCTTATTTGATAGCAGGCTGTGGCTTATCTATGCATGTAAAATAATACCAAGTGTTTTGTGCTTAGTATATTCTTGTTTCTCTTCCTTACCCTTTTTATTTTCTGTATTTTGAAGAATTTGGGCACCACTTCTCAAGGACCACATATTAAATTAAAATATACTCCAATAACCAATAAGAGTCCCACACAAAGCTAAATAATTGAGTTTATACTTTACATGTAAGGATCGTTAACATTTTTTTTTTTTTTTGGTATGTGACTTAGTTACGGCCGTTTATGGCAGTTACTGCCTTACTGCCCAAAAAACCAAAAATATTTTTCAAACTAGAGAATGTTCCCACCACTATGCGCATTGCCCATCTCTATATTTTTTTTAGGTTTAGATATATTTTTAATCCCTCAAATTTAAAATAAATTTATTTTTGATTTCTCAAATTTAAAATTATTATTTTTAGTCCTTGTAATTTACAAGTGTCTTTTCTTAATCCTTTAGATTATCAATAACATATTTGAAAGTGATTAATTAAGACAGTTATGCAATATCAACCAGATTTAATGTGATATTTTCACTAATAAGGACATTAATAGGTAGATTTTATGCAAAATATTTGATAAATTTTTTAACAAAATTTGAATATAAGAACTAAAATAAGATTTTTTGAAATTATAAGGACTAAAAATAATATTTTAAATTTGAAGGACAAAAACAGAATTACCCTAAATTTGAGGGACTAAAAACATATTTAAGCCTATTTTTTATTTAACTCATTTAAACAATTTACAAATAATATTAAGTATAAAAATATTTTTAAGTTAGGATTAAAAGAATTTCTTATTAGTTATTATGTATACAAACAACAACAGCAAAAGCTTTTTGGTGTTTACACCCTAAAAACTGAACGAATTATTGCTTGTCTTCACTTACGTGGTAATGAGTTCAAACCAAAGAATTGAAATTTTTTAAATATTAGATGTCAAATTAATATAATGATTAAAGTTGCATTATTTAACATTACGTGGGTCTAACATACTATTAGATTTAATATATATATATATATATTTATTATTTTTTTTGAAAGGACCTAAAATAAATCTAAAAATGAGTTTTTTTTATATGTGTATATCTTTTAAAATGAGGCTTAAAGTAGCTTTTAAGTTATAGAATTTTAAAAATATTATATAAATTATTAATATAAAATATTTATTTTGAACGAGACTTGAAGTAAGAGTTCTCTTAGCTTTAGGATTGAGCCAACCCAACCAAAATCCAACAATCAAAATTGTTAAAACCTTTCATTATCCAACAATATTAATATTTTCATCAAATATTGAATTATAACTTATAAATCAAAATTACATGATTTGACAATAAAAAGTAAAATTTGCACAACAAAAAATGTTAAAGTTAACAGATAAATCAAAATTACATAAGTAAAAAAAAAAAAAACCAAAATCAAACAACTGAAAAGTGAAAAGCGACTCAAACGCCATCGTAAATTTAATTTTCGTTTGAGTTGTAACTTTTATTGATAAAAGAAATAATAAAGTGTAATTAACCTCACTACCATTAGAGATTTAGAGATCCAATTGTTCACGCAAATTTGCCTACAGCGAATTTGGTTTATTGCAGCGTCGTATGATAATGAAATAAAAATTCCCATAAAAAGAAAAAGAAATTAAGGGCGATGGCTATTCAGAATACGCATACTTAAATCTCAAGTAGTTTAACGGTAAGGGTTAATTCACCTCTAAGCAAGGTCACGGTTCGAATTCTATTTTGTGCAGCCGAGTTAAATTTTGGGACCAGCTATTCCATCATTTGAAGTGTGTAGAACGTTTGTGTCCACAGTGTAGCTACCAATCGCCTGACATTGAATGCTGTTTTAAAGTGAACCAATCTCGTTCCGCTTTGTTTGCTTTTTTAAAGAAAAAGTAAAGAAGGACATAATTGTTTAGTAGGAAAGAAAAAAGAATGAGAGAAAAGAAATATGCAACTCATAAAAAAATATAGGCTAAAATACTAATTTCGTCCCTTATATTAATTGTTTGTTTCAATTTAGTCTCATTTTAATTTTTGGTTTCAATTTGGTCCCAAACTAATTAATTGGTTTCAATTTGGTCCTATAAAAATTAATTGGTTTCAATTTAGGACTTCCGTCCAAATTATTTAAAAGGAGTTAACTTTTGCCCACGTGGATGCCACGTAGATACATATGTGGATACCACGTGGATGCCACGTGGATAAATTTTTTTTTTAAAATACCTGGACCCAGAACGGCCCGTTCTGAAACCGGAACGGGCCGTTCTGGTTTCTTTTTTGGTGTATTAATTTTGCATTCAGAACGGCCCGTTCCGAATGCAAAAATAACACACAAAAAGTGAAACCAGAACGGCCCGTTCCGGTCTCAGAACGGGACGTTCCGGTTTTATCTTTTTTTTAAAAAAAAATATAAATATTAATAATTTTACAAAATATATATTATTAATTATATTTTAATTATGTTGTTATATCTAATAAAATAAATATTTTAATAAAAATAAGTAATTTTAAAATTTTTACCATAAAAAAATATTTTTCAAAATTATTATATTTTTTAATAAAATTAATAAAGAATATCATAACAATACGATTTTAGTTTCTCCCATTAAAAATTAATAATTTTAATATATATAT